CGTTTGCTGCTTTGCATTCACCTCACTCAGGGCGAGCATGGCATGGCCATGGCCATGGCTCAGCGCGCCTCCACCGGCATCAGTCGCCTGGCAGCCCTCTGTGGCGTGCAGGCCCGCACCCTTGAGCCCCAGCTTCCCGCCCCCGCTACCGCCAGTGGGGCTCCCGACCCAGCGCTGGCCCAGATGAGACTCACCTTCCGGCTGGTCACAGAGGCCTCGATCCTGGTTCAGCGACTTCTCTGCCTGCTGTACCTCCGGGCGCAGATGTACAGCGAGGCCCAGTGTCACGCTCGGCTATTCCTACACCTAGCACAGCAGCTACGCTGTGCCGGCCATATTGCCGATGCGGAGACCCTCTGCGCCGAACTGGCCAAGCGCCCCTGGATCCCGTTGGCCGAGGCCGACAGCCCGGAGGCAGAAGGCACCGTCGCAGCAGATGTGCGTTTTTTGCTCCTCGCCTCAGCCCGCTCCGCACCTTCCATCTTCATCCGCCAGTGCCTTCCCGCACGCCACCGTCCCCCCCCCCGTCGCCTGTGCGCCCCTTCTGACGCTTCATCATCTCGATGGGCCCTTCAGTCTCCTTCCGTCTTGTTTGTGGCGCCGAGCGTGGCCACCTTCCGGCCACAGCCGAGTGACTCGGCCACCACCCCGGAGGCCTGGCCCGTCCTCGATGCGACCTCGGGGCCCAGGGCCTTCGGTCAAATGCTCGACAGGCCGGACACCCGAACGGCAGGGTGGTTCGCTGCGCCGGTGGAGATTTCTCGCGAGTCGCCGTCTGTGCGACCTTCAACCGCGCCGACCGGCGGTCGAGCCAGCCTCTTTCTTCGAGCTGGACCAATCAAGGGTGCTCGGACATTGGGCCGGCCACGCTCAGCCCCGGCGCCTCCTCCAGGCCCGATGTCTGCCACGCCCATGCCCACAGGTCGCAGTGGGCTGGGCGTCTTCCGGGCAGCTCCTCCGCCTGGGTCTGACAATGGCCGGCCATCGTCGGGTCCCTTTGCCCTGCCCGGGGCAGCGTCGCGACCGGGGTCCGCCCCCGGGTCCCTCAAGCGCCCGGCCTCTGGTGGCTTCTGGCCGGATGCCGGGAAGGTGCCGCGCGTCGAAGCCCCTCCCAGCCAGCCGTCTGACCACCTGCCGGAACTCTTTCGCCATGCGGGAATTGCTTGCTTCACAGCGGCCTTACGACAGACCGAGGCTCAGGTTGCACGCCGGTGCCTGGACCCAGGCGAGGCAGGACCAACCGCCAGCTTGGACGACCTGCTTGCATGTCGTCTGCTTGGCACCTCGGTGGCCACGCACCGACGCCTTCAGTTTCTCAGGCCACCCTCAGCCACAGGGGAGACGCCAGTCCCGGATCCGCCATTTCCTGGACTGCCAAGATGTCCGGCTGGTCCTGCTCTCGCGAGGCTGGCCACCGAGTTGCCACCACTGTGGACCTTCGCACAACTTGCTCGAGCGCCAGGCATTGGGGCGTGCGAATCCGGCGACGGGCGCATTGACGACGGCGCCCTGTCACTGACTCTGGTGCTCGGAGAGCTGCCCCAAGGAGGCAGCGGCACGTGCGCTTGTGCCCCCTCGAATGCTCCCATCATGGAGTCTGGTCTTTTTGTTCCACTGCCAGGGCCAGTGGCCACGGTGGCTGCCGAAAGGACATCGACTGCCCCTCGGACGTGTGCACCACAAACGAGCCGTCTTCTTTCGGTCCAGCTCGGAGGCCGCCCCACCAGGGCCTTTGCGTCAATCGCCCGGCGATTTACCGACATCATGCTGGACAACACTCGGTCCCTGGAAAGGGCTGGGACCATGGCTGCCGGGGGGAGCGGGGCTGACTCCTCTGGGGCACGCGAATGGTGGACTGAGCGCCTTCAGCTGGACCGTGATCTGGAGGCGGTGTGTGGCGACCTGGAGGCCGAGGTCTTGGGGATTTGGCATGTCCTGCTCTTGCCCCCGCCGGTCCTCGCGACCCCCGGGGAAAGGGGGCTTCAAAACACCGAGCCGGCCGCCATCGTGGCCGAGGTCCAGCATCGCCTCCAGCTGGTTCTGGGCCGCTTCATTCGGGACCTCTGCCGGCTGGAGGAGCACGGCGACTCAGGTACATGCATCACCGCCGAGACGATCCTCGGCCCTGTGTTTCCCCTCCTGCCCCCTCTGCCTTGCATTCGGTTTGACTCACCCCCGCCAAAGCCACATGCATGGCGCGTTTGCTTCCGGACCACATTGCCCGGCAGCTTCTGCTGGTTGGTCCCCGGCCATCGGCCAGCCTCCTCCGTCAGCTACTCGAAGATCTTGTTCACTCGCCAGCCGTGGCCGGGGACTGGGCATGGCGGTCACCAGCTGCCCGAGAGGCCGCCCGGATGGCAGTGACCGCTCCGTTGGTGGCAGCGCTGGCGCATTCCTGGCGTCTGGCTTTTCTATTGGCAACGCCTGTGACAAGAGCCGCAGGTGACGCCGACACATTGTCCTCCGAAGAGGCGGCCCTTTTCGTCCCATGCCCCGGTCAGCCCCACCACCTTGCCCTGTGCTTGGAGCCCAAAATGTCGCATCTCCCCTGGGAGTCGATGCCCTGCCTGCGGGAGCGCTCTGTGACGCGGCTACTTTCGGGAGCTTTCCTCAGCCAGCATGTGGCCCTCATGACTGCGCCAGGAGCCGGCTGGAGTGGGCGCCTTGAGGGTGCACTTGCTGCTCCCCCAGCTCGCTTGCCGGTGGATGATCCTTTCTTCCTCTTGAATCCATCGGGTGATCTGGCCGATACGGAGCGCCGACTGGGGCGTCTCATGGTGTCCCCTTGGCACGGCAAGGCCGGGCCGGTTACCCGGGCCGAGGTCGCCCAGCACCTTGGCCGCCGTGGTGCCCAGCGCATGCCGGACATTGTGCTGTGCGTGTTCCCTGCCCTGTGCTCAGTACACCGGAGGGGGAAAGAAAGCAGAGCGACGGGGGCCCCTCGCAATGGCTGGCTGTTATTTTGCTTGCGCGAGCCTACATCCACAGCGGTTTCCTTTCTCTCTCTCTCTCTCTCTCCCCCTCTCTCTCTCTCTCTCTGTCTCCATCCATCTCTGTCTCTAACATGTAAACGCGCACACGTGCCCACGCGCACACAGCTACTGCGGCCACGGCACCGGGAGGCGGTACCTCCCAGCTCACATGCCCTCAGTTATGCTGCTGATGGGCTGTTCAAGCGTGGCCGATCCCCATGCGGTCATCTCACAATTACTCGGCGGGAGGTGCGCATCGTCCAGCTGACCTTTCGGAGAGGGAGACCAAAATATCCCCCCCCCTCCCCCATTGCAATTCATGTTATGCTAACACCCTCCTCTTCCTGTCCTGTGTCCATGAATCGACCATGCAGCCCGACGGTCGTGGGGAATCTCTGGGCTGTGTCCGATCGTGATGCAGACCTCCTCACAGCGCGCATGCTCCAGCTTCTCGGACTTCCGCTGTTGGAGGAGGATCCGGCGGGCATTGGGCCAGAGGCAGGCGGCGATGCCAGTCATACCAGCGGGGGGGAGACGATCCCGCTGGCGGTGGCCCGTGCCAGGCGACGTTGTCGCCTGCGCTTTCTCAATGGCGCTGCGGCCGTGGTGTACGGGCTCCCAGTGAGTCTAGTCATGGGTGCCAGTAATGGACAGCCCCCTGTGGCGAGCACATAGACATCCATATGTACCAGGGCCCCTCCCCCCCAAAACACTTGATATCCTTTTCGGTGGGTGTATTTTTTTTTTGCGATATAGATGGTACGAGTGGCAATGGGAGGGGGCAAAAGGAGGGAGCAAGGATAGAGCAGCATAGTGGGGGGAGCGGAGGGGGTCCCTTTCCACCCGGTGTCGGGCAGGTGCGCACATACCACCACCACCCCCCGCCCTCCTTCCCCTCGCAGATGCGCATGCACGGTGGGGAACGAGCACATGTGCGCGCGGTGCCTGGCGTCGGCCGCGCACCGGCTGATGTGCACTGATGGCAGACGCACACCATCACATGGTCGTCATCGTCGTTGCCATCACCGCAAGATAGCGCGATTGAGCCCGGCTTGCTCTTTAGGGAGTGATGCGCTTCGGGTCGCGGGGGAACAGCGAGGACTTGCGGATGTTGCCCAGGGCCAGGTAGAGCATGACCACACGCTCGAGGCCTGCATGCGGTCGGGCAGGAGGGACAGACGGTGCACGGAGGCATGTGGTTAGAACAGGGGCAAGAGTGGCTGGTGGGAATGAGGCTGTGCCCTGGGGCGGAGAGAGGAACAAAATTCAAGGGGACGCATGGGCGGGGGGGCAGGACAACATCACGCACCGACACCACCACCGGCGTGAGGGAAGGAGCCGAACTTGAAGGAGTCAATGTAGGCCTGGATGGAGTCCAGGGGGATGCCGCAAGCAGTGGCACGCTCGGCCAGGAAGTCGGCATCGTGAACACGCTGGGCACCAGACATGATCTCCTCACCACGCATGAAGAAGTCATACGAGTTGGAGTAGCCCGGGTTGTTGGGGTCGGGCATGGTGTAGAAGGGCCGGACGGCCTGGGGGAACTTGTCCAGCATGAAGAAGTCGGTCTTGTACTTCTCCTTGACCAGGCGGCCGAGGGCGCGCTCGGTCTCGGTGCTGGAGGCAGGGGAGAGGAAGGCCGGGCGTATCACCACCAAGCAGGGCAGAGATTTGGACAGAGGGAGAGGGAGGAGGCCAAGTACCCGAGTCAGCAAAAGCCCCGTCGGGCACGGCAAGGCCGCGGAGGTGAGCAGGCACGGAGGAAAGGAAGCACGCACGAAAGATCGTCGAAGTCGCCAACCTCATAGCCAGCCTCGCGCAGCATGGCGATGGCCTCGGGGAAGGTCAGGCGCAGGGAGGGCTCCAGGAACTGGAAGGGCTCGGCCGGGTACTGGTTGAAGACGGTGGCAATGTCCTCGGCATACTCGGTGCTCAGGGTCTTGAAGAGGGTGACGAAGAGGTTGTCGAACAGGTCCAGGACCTCGTGGTAGTGCTCGTTGAAGGCCATCTCCAGATCCAGGCCGACGAACTCAGTCAGGTGGCGGTGGGTGTTGGAGTCCTCAGCGCGGAAGACTGCAGGGGGTAATGGCCGGTGCCGGTGCCGGGGGGGGGGGG